GGTCAGCGTAGATGGTCTTGGATCTTATGGTGATGTGATATATAGAGCAGTGTGGGACCCCTTTATTTATACATTTTTCATCCAGCTCACAATAAACTCCTTTCATTCCTCCTGGTTTATGACCTGGCCATAGTGATTCATGCATTAGCCACTTCCAGGTTGGGTTATTTTGACTCACACTGTTTGGACCTCAGCATAAAATTCAGAAGGAAGCCACAGCAGGAGAAATGATAGGGCAGAGGTAAAACCATGGGACTTTGCCAGAAGTGCTGCTGAGAACCGATCACATCCCTTGTCAGCAGAGCATCCTGAGAGCTGGCAGAGAAGCAACTTCTGCTGCTGGCTGAAGAGCCCTACCTACTTGTTATTTAGCTGAAAGACTGTGTATATTTTTTTCTTATGGGARCTCCTCTTAATTTTGCAACTGGATCAGTTAAGTGACATAATCAAAGTCACAGAGTAAGTTGCTGTCTCAATATAAATCGGGGCACAGCACAGGTCTGAAAACAGAACACATCTCCTGGAGAAAGGGGCAAGTAGCCCAAAGAGCCAGTAGACCTGTGGCTTTTATCTTACTGATTGGCAGAGCTTGGTCTTTGAATCAGAGTGTATGCTTTTTCCTGTTCAAACTCTTCGATATTTCAGTGGTTTGGTTTTGAGAAATGTCTGTCCTCAGYGGTGGATGGGTTCCAGATACCAGTGGGAGTGCTGAAAGGGATTATCTGATGCCTTGCGAAAGAATGAAGCTGGCGGATGAGAAATGAGGCCATGTCCTATAGCACTTGTAGGTTCCTTAGTCAAGGTATTGCAAGCCTTGGAAGGGTGTTGAGTAGATGGGACTTGGGTTGTTCTCCAGTCTGCTGCTGCCAGTCCTGCAATACTGATATTACAGTCTTGACTACGAGTACRGAGACCTGGTTGTTACAGTGTGTGCTGACATGTTGTTCAGATGTTGTTCCCCTCACTAGAGAAACAAGAGTGGTATGGATCTGCTGTTTCCTGAAATTTGGTGAATCAGTGATTCTTTGCACTGTTTTGAGAGTGCCAGAAAATGGTTCCTCCTGGGGATCTGTGTTCATGCTTTCATTGCAGAAGTGTTAGATTTCAAGGATTTGAAAACTTTACTARGAATTTGGAGGAATTGCGTGAAGGTGGGCAAAGGAAGCTCATGACTTCAAGATGTTGCTATCTTGATGTYCCTCCCAGAATGTGCAGAGGGTTGGGGATAGGAGGATTTTAGCAAAGGCCAAATACAGAAAGGAAAACAAGACAGATTAGCCAGAGAGATTGCCCTTATTGAAAATAACTTCCACGTTGCAAAGCATTGTGCTATTTCTGAGCTTGTGTTCAAAGCACAGGGTTGGGCATCTTGATTCGTGAGACATGTTCCTGTTCCACCTCTGGGTGTGTCTTCATGTGAGCAATTATGCTGCTTACACCTCAGTTTCCCTTCCTGCAGAGTGGAAAGAAAATAGCTAAAGTAATTTCAGGTTTGAGAAGCTTAAAACATTACTTTCTGGAAAGCTCTTAGAAAATTTCCCTGATGGAAGTTGCTAGTTTAATGCAAGTGATGGTGATGTTGATAAAAAACAGATCACATCTGTTGCACTTGATGAAAATAGTACAGCAGCATTTCAGATGTAAATATTAATTGATTTCTGCACTGCCGATTTCTTCTTGGATATTTAAATTATTGCTAAGGAGGAGGGAAAGGCTATCAGGGAGATTAACAAATCCATTATTAAGGCTGGAAATGGAGGGTTGCCGAAGTGCCATTTAATAAAATGTAAAAAGCCCCTTTCTAAAGGGCGAAGCAGCAGCACACACAATGAAAGTGAATCACAGCTGCCAGAAGGGATGCCAAGCAGCAAGCACTTATAATCAGAAAACTGTACTTACAGATCATTCGGAGCCACTAAATTAAATGATCTCATTTTCTCCTAAAATACTCTTCCTTTAGTCCCTCCCCAGTGTTGCCTGCGGATTGCTCAACCACATTTAAAATCTGACTTTGGGGGCTTTTTGGTCAGCAGTAGAATGGCAGTGGGCCTCTTTGTGTTAYTCACTTTCCACCCACTTTTGTTTCTGTCACATACAACTCTGGCATTTTGCAGGCTGACCTGCCCACACGAGCACTTGCGATGGTAACTGCGAGATTTTGCAGATCCGTTGTGGCTCCATGCTTGACTTGCCTTTTCTTTAGGGCTCCTTCTTTGGGGAAATGTCCCACGGTTTATTCCCAAATTTGTCTTTGTTTCACACAGATTTTTTTTTCTAGTTGTGTGTTGTTTACTTCAGAAACAAAGACTTGGAAGCCGAGTTGAAGTGTAAATGCAAGAGCTGGTCCTAGATTATTTCATGCAGAGCTGATCCTGCTGTTACTTCATTCCAGGGCTGATTTAATTCACCATGTGTATCAGGGTCCTCCTCCTTCATACTCTCTTGTTTTGTATCTTGAACTTTACCTTCATGAGGCTGATACTCTGATAGGCTCCCAACCTACCCCTTCATTTTCCAGCCATGACTTTCCCTATTTAATCCTTAGAGGGGCACCACATATGTCCCAGGAAAAGCTAGTGGCAGTGGATGCTGATAAAAGCCTATTTTGCAGTGATTTTGGGGCTTTATCGTGAGTTTGGGGGTGGGAGTTGTGGGGTTTGGGTTTTTTAATGATTAGTATTGCTAATTCTGAGAGGCAAATGGCTCCCAGGTTTTGGAAGTAGGTTAGAGGAARCACAGTTCGAGCCCAGAAATGCTCTTCTGTTAACCTTGCTGTTGTGGAGATGTCTTTGCACCTGTGTCCTTTTCCTTAATCCAAGATCCTATGAGCAGTCTTTGAGACTGCTCAAATTTGGAATTTTCCATGTGCTTTTAACAATCTCTTCTATGGGCAGTTTCCAGTGTAGAAACATGAGGTGGGGAGAGAGAATACTTCCTTCCTTGAGTTCCTCCCCAGACAAAAGCCAGTCTTTACACATGCTGTGGTCTGGCTGGGTGTAGGTGTATGAGTAGAGGCTGTYCTGTCCAAGCAAGGGGTGGGACTGGCTTTCCCAGAATGAGGGAGGGATGTCCCTGGAGATGYCCCAGCTTCCTTTATTTTTCAGCTRTCCCACCTTAAGAGAAACAAAACAAAACAGCCCCTAGAGATTTGGAGATGAAAAGGTCTGTGTAAGAACTGAATAGTGGTATTATTTTTACCTCCATCAGCTGCAAGCCTGCAGTTTTCTGMGGAAACCTCAGAAATGGTGAATCAGCAAATTGTGTGTAGAGAAAAGTTAGCTACCCTGAATCCACTTTTTCCAGGCCTCCTCAAGTTGAGTGCTGGCAACTCTTGCAGCTCCATCATGAATCTCTTGATGTTTTGTGCTCTGGCTAAAGCCCTTGCTACCAGACACAAGCTATTAATTGAGAATCTCTGCCTTTCTGTTTTTTCTTTCCAGGTACTTCTCTATCTCCTATTCTGATGGAGGAATGCTTGCAAATGTAAATAGTCATGGCCTAAAGCTTCAGAAAATAAGCCGTTAGAAYTCTAAAACAGTCTTTGGAGGGTTTCTAAGTCAGAATCAGTTTGAGATTCAGATTTTTACCATGAATGCTCTGAATCTGATCTTGAACGTTCTCTGAGTGTGTGCTTTTTGAGTAAGTCAGGTATTTTAGAGACCAGTATCATACAATTATATGTTATCAGGTTTTTAAGCTCCATTCCAGCTAATGTAGAAGTTGGTAAAATTCAGGGTCTCATAGAAGTGGTCCCAGGGTTTCTACCTACATGAAAATCAGAATGTTAAATACATGATTAAAATTCTGAAAAGAGTGATCATACTGGAAGGTGTGTGACAGCATTTGTTAAAATGTTGAGATGGTCACTGTTGTTCTTTGTAGATGTGCTGCTTCAAATACMGTGAATTTGCTGTCTATGGTATCTGTTGTCTTTGTTCTCAAGGGCTCTGTGCACATTGGAAAATGGGTCTCACTCCTTAGTCTCCCATGAAAAACAGTGTATCAGTCACTCCAGGTGGGAATTCCTGGCACTTTGTCTTTAGTTACATCTCCACAGGTGAGGTGTGGAAAGCTTCCAGCCTTTGGCTGTGCCCTGTCGTTTGTAGCCTTTATCCTTTATCGGCTTTATCCTTTCCACAGCCCTGCCAGTTCCATGGCGGTGGGCATGGAGCCATTGCCTGGAGTGCTGTGTCCACTTCTGGGCTCCTCAGTTCAAGAGAGACATGGAGCTCCTAGACCAGGCCCAGTGGAGGACTGTGAAGTTGTTCAGGGGGCTGGAGCWTCTCTGTTATGGGGAAAGGCTGAGGGAGTTGGGCCTGKTCAGCCTCAAGAAGAGATGGCTGMGAGRGGACTTTACCGGTGTCTGTCAGTGTCTGCAGGGAGGCGGCAGAGGCTCTGTTGGGTGGTTGGGCAACAGGACAAGTGGCAACGGGCAGAGACTGATACACAGGAAATTCCACCTGAGTATGAGGAACAACTTCACTGTGCGAGTAACTAAACGCTGGCACAGATTGCCCAGAGAGAGGTTGTGGAGTCTCCCTCGCTGGAGATATTCCAGAGCCGTCTGGATGCAATTCTGTACAATGTGTTCTGGGGTGACCCCGCTTGAGCAGGGAGGTTGACCCACKKTGGTCCCTCCCAACCTGGCCCACTCTGTGATTCTGTGACCCCATCACCTCGGGGTCTGGGTGGGCACGGAGCCATCACCTCAGGGGTGGGAGCACACAGCCATTGCCGCGGGAGGTTCGTGCGTGTGTCGCTGCCCCCGACACGCTCCGGCCGTGCCTCGTGTTCCCGGGAACTGCATTTCCCAGCCCGCCCCGCTCCGCTCCGCTCCGCTCCGCCCGCCCGTGAGCGCCGGGCAGAGGTAAACAAAGTGCTGTGAGGCGGCGGGCGGGGCGGCGGCCGGAGGGGCCGGTCCCGCCACGGGGCTGCCGGGCCGAGGGGCCGGGGCTGGGATCCTGGCAGGGCCCGGCGTGAGGGGGAATCCGGGCTGGCCAAGGGGGCAGCGCTCGGCCGGGCGCTGGGGACGGGGCTGGGTCAGGAATAGCGCCGCCGTTCCCGGCGGGAGCATCCCGGAGCGGGTGCTTCCTCCGGCATTTCCTCGTGTGTTCCCTTGCCGCCCTTCGCCCTCCCAGGAGAGCCGGCCCCCGGGACGGGGTGACGAGGCCCGGGCACTGGGCAGAGACGGCGATCCCCGGCGCCTCCCCACCGCAGCCGCCCCCGTCTCCAGCGGGGAAGCCGGGAGCGTGGGGGCGGAGGGCGGCCCGGGGCTGCGGAGCCCCCCGGCCATGGAGCAAGTCCAGATGATCAACATCCAGCGGCTGCTRGAGGCGGCCGAGTATCTGGAGCGAAGGGAGAGAGGTAATGGGGGGAGGATGGGTGCCCTCCGTGAGGGGAAGGCAGCTGGGGTCAGATCCCCATCGAGGGGGGAGAGTGACCTCGGGGAAGGGATCAGAACGGGTGTTTGCTGGAAGGATGGTGGTAAATCTGCAGCAGTGAGGGGCTGGATGAGGGATAGACTAATGAGTCCTCCTGGAGGTGGAAGGCTTTTTGCAGAGTGGGGGACATTGGCGTGGATGTAGGTTCTGGAAGGAAAAGGGGGGATTGGTGTGAAAGTTTTCCACTGGGCAGGAGGCATGGTGGTGGGTGGCTCTGGCTCAGCAGAGACGTCAGTGGCACAGTGAAATAGATGTGTTTTGCCTGATTCAGATAGGTTGGGAAGGAAGAGGTAGACGAGGCACTCTCTGGACTGTCATGGTTTTTTTTCATATTTTCAGTGTTTGAGTGGCCATCCTCCCTCCAGGGTTGGCAGAGATTTTATACTTCCCTTCCTCCCTGTTCTCCACCTCCCAGTCCACTTCCCTGTGAATATATCCTCAGTCATTTCCCTGAGCTGTTGTGGTTAAAGGCCTCCCCAGCTAGGCCCATGGGTTAGTGGTGAGGCCTACCTGCTGACTTCTTTCTCTTCCCCCCCACCAGTTCTTTCTTTTTGTTTTGTTTCTCTCTTTCTTTTTTTTTTTTTTTTTGTGTTTTTGTTTGTTTGGTTTTGTTTGTTTGTTTGTTTGTTTTGTTTTTAATGCCCTGCCTGTTGATTTTCTTGCAGAGTGCGAACATGGCTATGCCTCGACCTTCCCCTCAGTTCCAAGCCCTGGACTACAAGAGCCAAAGCCCACGCGGAGGCTGAGCCGGGCACGGAAATACAGCGGCAGTGGCAGCATTGCCAGTATTGCCACCAGGTACGACATGGGCAGGACAGCACAGGGGGCAGGAGTGGGGGTGAAGCTGCAGAAGAAAGSTGGAGGCAGTGGAGAGAAACCTGCCCTCTGGAGAGAATGAGAAGAGTGTGAAAAGCTAGAGGGATTGAGAGCTGGGGTACACAAGTGCAGCGTCCATTCTGGATCCATAGCACTGGAAGCAGAGGGGACACAGGGGAGTTGGGTCTGAAGTGGCAYTGCCAGCTGACATCATGCCAAGGCTCAGATGCTGCAGCAGGAAGGGGGATAGGGAGATCTGTTCCATAAGGTTTAGGGAGGAGGTAGGCAATAGCTATTTCCATTACATACAACTGATGTCTTTCCAACCCAGAAATCACTGCTTTTAAGGGATAGTGCATGTGCAGCCTGGGTGCTTTGGGATTGTAATGACAGGCATGATTCGAAGCAAGGAAATGTTTTGAAATGGATCCCCTACAACAAATGGGAGAGAGGGAGATGACTGACTGTAATGTACAACATGTTAAAAATYCAGTTCAGGAAAATGAAGCTGTCTTTCAGTCTGCCTTTCAGGGCAGTGGGATTTCCCAGCTTTTGATAGCTTGGTAATTGTAGAGCTCCATGTTTTTGACACTTCTCTTATACACTGCCATGTTTCTTGCTTTCTTAAAGCTAGAAGAGACAACAGGATTAAGCCTATCGCTTGGTGCTGTAGTTGCATCTGCCTCTTCCCTTTTATTCCTGTTCTTTTTATTTTTGTTTGCTACCTTCTGTAGATTTGTTCAGACCTTGTTGAGACCTTCTGGAATAGAAAACTTCAGAAACATAAAGTATGTGTTTGAAAAGACATTTGCAAGCTTGCTTTTACTGCAGCAGGGCCCTAGCAATCCATAAAATGGTGGCAGGTGGCTCAGGTGATTAAGGCTTTCTTAAGGCCATTGGGAAGAACCTGTAAAGGCCTGAGGGAAAGGTGCCTTTGCTTGCAGTGATTCTGCTTCGGCAGCACTTGATAATARAGGTTGTTTGAAGCAATGTTAGGACACCTTGCTGGGGAAGTTTTTCTTCATCAGGATCAGCATCTCTTGAGCTCTTTGTATGCGGAATATTTGTATTTCCTTCACTACTTCATCCAGCCTCTCCTAATTTGAGGGCAGTTGTAGCTCTTACTGTTTATCATGAACCGAAGTCCCCAGTCCTGTGACTTTGTGTTGGAAAATGATGGCAAATGCTGAATTGAGGTCGGTATTTTTCCCTTTAGGTTTCCCACATACTATTTTTCCATCCCACACCTCTTTGTCTCAAAGGCCTTTGTCATGGCAACCTGCCCTTCTCCAGAGGAGGGCTGGAAGCACATCCCCCTCAGGAACTCCTTAGCACTGATTCCAGCAGCCTGTAGGCTGGAGAGGGATGCAGAGCACTCCCTGTCCCTGGGGCCAGGGTGCTCAGCAGGCCCTGCCAGCACAGAGCCCCAGGCACAGCTCTCCTGGGGCAGCTCTGTGCTGACACCAGCCCGCTGGGCCCTTGAGCATGACAGGCTGAATATGTTCATGTGGGGGGAAAGGCAACAGAYAAGCAGAAAAAGTACTTTCTACTCTTTCTTAAAACCTTCTTTATGCAAGGCCAAATTGAATCTTTAGAGTGAGAGTACAGTTACCCAGCCTGTTGCCCTCTGTGCTTGTTACAGCCTCAGGGAATGACCAGTGTTASGTCTGCTCCAGGCAGAGATCAGAGTGGGGCTTTTGGGGAGCTTAGACCTTACATGCACAGTTGGAAATGGAAGTTTCTTTTAGCACAAGTCGTAGCAGCTTGCACTTGCTGTAGGAGATGGCAGGCCTTCCAGATGGCTGAAGTGCCGGGAAGTGACAACTGTGAAGTTTAGGGTGCCTCCAAATTCACTGCAGTGTCTTTTGTGTGATGCTGAGTATAGCATCAGCCTTGTTTAAGGRAGGCTCTGTATCATCTCTTCCTGTTAAAATCAAAGGGGCAATTCAGTAAGTTCTGTCGGCTGGAGTTGGAATGGACTTTGAATTAAATATCAAGCCCTTGATGAGGAACAAAACTTACATTTCATGTGTGGACAAGAGATTTTCTTAGATTGCTTTTGTCTCAAAATGTTTAATTAGTGTAGAGAAATTATGCATTTGGATCTCATGCAGATCTTGTAATTTAACAGCCTCCTGTAAAAATGTCTCTCAAGCAACCTTGGCAAAGTGCTGATGTTTTATTTTTTTCTCTTTTTATTTATACACTTTTACAGATTGACATGTGTACATTGTTGATGGTCTTTATTGAACAAAAAAAATCCCTGATTTTATGGTGCAGGGTATTTACGAAGCCTAGTTGCTTGTTTGATTCACAGTTTAGATCCGAGTATTTCCCTTCAGCATTTGCAGCCCAGTCATGAGAGCTATTTCCTCCCAACAGGCCCTGTGCWGTCATTGCACAAACACCTAGAAAGTTCTGAGGAGCAGACAGCCCAGCTCTGGATGGCAGTGGTGGAGMAAATCTTATTCTTACAGAACTATGGCAGTCTTACAGTTCCAGCAAAGTAATTCTTTTCTATCCCAAACAGGGGTGTGCAGATAAGAGGGAAAACATTCTTCATGATTTCTAATTCATATGTTCCAATTTTAAAGAAGGACGTTGTGGCTCAGGTTCTCTTCCTTCGCTTGTCTTAGTTGTGCAACCGACAGCATGGAGATTGCTGCAGAGGGCTTCTTTCTGCAATCATTATCTACATGAATGTGCAGTGTTTGGTGTAGACATTTGAAAGATGTACTGACTTTGAATTAAAACATTGATATGTTTATAAATACCGTTTTGCTTTAGTCAGGGATATTTCGATATGGAAAATTACCCACCTGCAGAAAATAAGTGGAGAATCACAGTCATTGTAACCTGGTGTTTATAATAGACAAGGGAAACTTTTTTAAACAAATCCTACTTAACACACGATAAAAGCAAAGCACCAAGCAAATCAATTAGCCAAGATATATTACATTTGAATTGAATATGCCTATTTAAATTGGCTCTTGACAAAGGTATCTTCTCGTTTTTGGAATGGGATGAAAAATGAGCAGAGGTTTGTTACAGCATCACTTAATGTTACTTCTGAAGATGTTTCTGGAGCAGAAGCTGGGTTCTAAAAACTTGCTAGAGAAGTGAAGTAGTCTGTGCTGGGAGTGCGGTTCTGTGAATACATTAACTTGCACACAACGTCACTGGAAACTGCTCTCATGGACCCTACATGTGCAGTTTTAATAGCCCAGTTATTTGAAAGGTTCATTATAGTTAGTTAGGATTAGCYTGGTTTGATATTTATACATTTTGGAAAATAATTGAGAAGACTTTTTAATCAATTTAAATCATTGTGTCAGCAGGAAATAAAATAAACAGTAGGGTTGCTAAATGATTTTTTGCCCCAATAATACCATCAATTTAATGAAGTTAAGATTTATAACGAAATCTGAAATTATATTATTATRTTATTCAATATTAGATTGTCATTTGTGTTTTGTTTTTATTTAGGCTCTCAGGCATGTAGAAAAGCCTGTTATTTTTTGGTCTAATCCTGGGGAAATACCAAGCATCCTCCCAGCAGCACTGGGARCCCTCAGCTCTCCCAAGAGGGCCGTGTTGTTAAGGTCTCTCAAAGATCTACTGCTCAGTTCCATGCAGGAGGGTTTGATCTCTGTCCAGTTTCTTTTTCCTTTCATTTTCCTCTCTTCCCATTATCCTCCCTTGTGTTTGAGGCTGCTTCCCAAGGGCCTTTCAGACAYCTAGAGTCTCATAGCAGGTTGCTTGCAGAGCTTGGAGTCGGCAGCTGTAATGAATGAGTATGGTGAGGCATTTTGGACGTGTTATCTTGGAAATCTGGGTGTCTGGGTTTCTTTGCCCTTCTGGCTGTTCTACTGATGCAGCTCCTCATTTKCTCTGTTGTTGCACTCTCCTCTGCCCCATATGAAACTTTTTTTCTCACGCTTCTAAATCCCATCACTTGGTTTTGTGCTGAATCTTCTCTGTAGGCCTTCAGTCTCATCTTTTGAAACTCTCTTTTGAGGGTAAGTATGGGGATTGTACTGCTGAAACCCTCAGGTATTCTTGGCTTTAAGCTTGATTTGCGCACAGTGTCCCAGAGCAAGGACTGAGGGGTGGGTGGATAGGTGTGCATTAGGTACCTCATGTGCCTTAGGTGATGTCTTCATGTGGCACAGGTTCATAAACAACAGTGCAGAAGCTGAAAGGATGTGGCTGCAAGTGTAGCTGCAAGTCAGCCTTGCCTATCTGGTGCGTAAGAAAGATGATTTACCCCAGCAGCAGTGCTGTGCAGCTGTACCTTGCTGTGCAGAGCAGGAGTAGAGGGGTTGGTGAACACTGCATAGTTTTAATATATTATATCTTTTCTGTCAAAGAAGGTTTCCGCCCTCTACCCCCCTATTGTGCTGCTGACGGTGTACCTGGCAATTTTCAGTTCTTCCTAGAGCGTCTGGAGTTAGGACAGTGCTGTAACTATGATTTTATTGGGGGAGAGGGTGTGCAGGTGGCTGTGTGGTTTGCTTGTCTTGTTTAAGGAATTCCTGAAAAAACAAATTGCTTTGTCAGCTAATGTTGCACTACATTTCTGCACAGAGCCCCAACCCTGTCTTCATGTCCCAGAGAATTGGTCTCTGAGACTTTTTATCTACAGCTTTCCTGCTTCCTAGGCACTATTTGTTGTTACTGGTTTCTGGATGATACGTTGTTTATTTGCTTGTGAATTTTTGGTTTGGTTTTTTTTTTTTTTTTTTTTTTTNACCCACTTGCACTGTATCACACCTGACTCCATAGCTAGTGGGAGTTGAGTTTTGACTAGCTGTGTGTAGGTGGGTTAGAATCTGGCCCTTGTGTAATATGGGAGGGATAGAGGCTGCTTTCTGCCTCAAGCCTTGTAGTGCCAGGAAGCTCTGTTCATGGCTCAGGACCTGGCTTTTGCTTCATGGAGTACAAATCCATATGTGTCAAACAGAGAAAGTGTGAGATCTGCT